TTCATATATTATATGTTTATTTCACGAAACAAAGTATGCGATTAAAAGTTTGCTCGCATTGTGTGTCGCCTTTCAATTGTATTGTATTTTCTTTTATATACAAACTTTTATTCTTTGCACTCAATTCCTGTTATTGTTATTTACAGGAGTTTTGTTTGCGATTTATTTGTTTGGAAAGTTATTATAGTTATTGCATTAATACAGAATAAGTTATTATATTAATAAATTCTTTGTATTATTCTGTATTTGATAAGAGAGTGTGTTTTAACAGTTCATTATAACCGCATTTTGAACACTAATTAAATAATTGAAACAATATATTGCCATTAAATTGGCCTTAATTTTATGTCCAGTCTCTCAATCACTAGTTTATTCAAAAATCAATTTATTAATCATTTTGTAAAACATTTTGTTGCCATTTATTAAAATCAAAGTTTCGATGAGTTTTCCCTGATTTCATATTTTAAAACAAACAAAATTTGCATTAAATTCATTATTTAATTTCTAAAATTTTAAAAAAATTATAAAACGTTAGACATTTATATAAATATGGTAATTTTGCTATTTTATTTGCTTAAATGTAATTCAATTAATTTTATTTATTATGTGATTATTGCGCTAATAATTAATTTGGTTTCTCATGAAAACAGTAGTCGCGATAATGAGTCCATTTATACGCAATCCTACGATAGGACACAATCGACATGTTTTCACGAAAACCATAAACCAATGGACGAGTTGTTTAGCGACACTGAATGCGAGTCACATATAGACCACACGTGGATCACCACCGGAAGTGCCCGTAAGTGTCTCCCATTACCAGCCCTTCCCAACCAAAGCTCATGTTTGATAATCGTTTTAATTGAATTGTATTTTCTATTTAATAGCATATAATTATAATAATAGCAAGAAAAGTGGAAACAACTCTATTATCGTATAAAATGAAATCAATTGTCACACCATTTAATACACGATACCGAAGATATTTTAACGCATAATTTGATGACAACATTTTTGGTCACAATTACATTAAAAACAACAAATGCTTGAAGAATAATAAAAATTTTTATTTACTGTTTAAAAATAAGCGAAACATTTCCACTGAATTCTAAAAACTTATTAATAGTTTTTCATAGAATCTCTCTCTCTCTCTCTCTCTCTCTCTCTCTCTC